AAGTAGAATTATTGGGTTAGGGTATCATATACATTTAGTGTGTTGATAATGTGTCTCCCCAACAGGCTTTACTAATTTATATTCCAATTACCAATTATATTCCAACTATAAGGCAGAAAATAGGCCTTTTTATGTTTTTAATTAATTCTAAGGTTGTATTGACTGTTTTACAATTTAGAGGAAAGGAAGGCAAGTAAAAAATGATCATAAGTCAGTGTGATCATTATATTAAGAAAAGAATGCACAGAAAGGATGTTTAATTCAGATTGGATTGGGAGAGTTAGGAAGACTTCCCAGAGCATTTCATGCTTCAGCTGGGCCTTGAATACTGAATTTACATCAAGCAGGCCAAGAAGGGAGTTGAGGTGTGCTGGGAAGAATGGCATTTTAGGTATGGGGTGCACTGTCTATGAAAGGCAGGGTGAATGACATGATGAGAACAAAAGAAATGTAGGAAATGTTAAAAGATTATGACGGTTAATCCAAATGATGGGTCGTTAAAGGCTTTCGTATCAGTGAAAAATATAATCTGATTTTTTGTATTAGAAAGATCACTCTGTTGTCATCGTGGGATAAATTCACAAACAGGGAGGCGATCAGGTGAGGGATGAAGAAGGTCAAAGCTAAGGCAGTAGATATAGTGCTAGAGAAAAGGGGACAGATTTGAGAGTTTTGGAGGAGAATACTAACTACTTGGAGAAAGTTTGACTGTGATGAGTGAGGGGGATGATTTTTGTGCATTTTAACTTAGCAAGCAACTAGGATTTCTGGACTCTAGGGGAAAGGACAGATGAAGGTAGCTTCAGTTCAAGATAACCTAAGAATTTGATGTTGCTGTGGGTCAAGTTAGTGGACATGTGGGTGGACTGTGGAACACATGCTTGTGGCGATCAAGTGAGAGCTGGGCTGGAGATACAGATAGTAGGGTCACTGTCATGTGGGTGGAACTGACTTTCTGTGATTGGGTTTCATCACCCTGGGTTATTTTGCTGAAAGTTAAAGGACATGTACAGGTAGGTCGTGAAGAAAGAAAGGAAGTCTGTGGAGAAGACTGAGAATGAATGCCAGTAAGTGTGAAGAGCCAGGAGAGAACGGCTTCCTGATGAAGGAGGAGGAGCAAGTTTCATGCCAGATTGGTAGTAGAAGTGAAGAGGGAGTAAGCAAATGAGTGGAGACTATGATTTAGGGAGTTTGGATGAGGAGGTGGAAACCATGACTTTGTAGTAAGTAATGCCTACATTCGTACATTCAGGTGCTAAGGCTTTTGAGTCAAAAGAACTGGGTTCAAATCACTTTGTATCACCACACGTTAGTAATATAACAAATTTTTTCTTTTTTTTTAAAAGAGAAACATTACTTGCACAAAATTTTTAAATGCTATGTATTAAAAGCCATGAATACCTCATACATTGCTGGTGAGATTTTTTAAATGGTGCAGTCACTCTGGAAAACAGTAAGGCAGTTCCTAAAAATGTTAACCATAGTTGCTATATGACCAAGAAATTCTCCTAGGTGTATACCCAAGATAAATGAAAATACATGTTTACGTAAAAACTGGTACATGAGTATTCATACCAGAATTATTCATGGTTGCCAAAAAGTGGAAACAACCTATTTGTCTATCCTCCAATTTAGAAAGCAATGGATAAGCAAAAACTGGAATACTGATCAGTGGAATATTATTCAGCCTTGAAAAGGAACTAAGTACTGACACATGTTATTACAGGGATGAACCCTGGAAACATTGTGCTGCGTTCCTTCTGGGGAAACAAGAAGCCAGTCATAAAAGATTACATATTGTGTGTGTATACCTTAAGTATGTTCATGTATTTATATGAAATGTGAACTCCATAGAATAGTCAACACCATGGGCATAGAACTAGGTCAGTGGTACCAGGGGGTACAGGGTCTGTGAAAATGGGGAGTGGCTGCAGATGGGTTTGAGATTTCTTTCTGGAGTGATGACAATGTCCTGGAACTTGATGATAGTGATGGTTTCATGACTCTGTGAACACACTAAACAACACTAATTTTAAAAGTGAATTTTATGGTTTATGACTTCTCAATAAGGCTATTATTTTAAAAAATGTTAACAGCTGTTACTTAAAAAGTCAAGATGGCAAAGCTCTTGACAAATGGAAAAAATTGTAACAGTGTACAGAGATGCTCAATATCTGTAATGCACAGGAGTTTTTATAGAAAGTAACTTAACAAATTCTAAGTGCTTATCTTCCTCTGTGACAGGACTCATACTTGCCCCAAAGGAGAGCTATGAGAATTAAATAGATGTGTGAGTTCACAGAAGTTATTGTTGTTTTTATCCTCAGTCTTCATTTTACCATGGGTGCTTAAGAATTAGTGTGTAGAGAGGTTTAAATGTTTAGTAAACTAAAGTAATGGCTTGAGAGTAGAACTTAGGTATCATGAAATTCTAATTATTATGTGTTTTTGGATATGATGCTGTTTTGTCCACCTACTTGAGGAAAATGCCATTCTTTTTGTAATTTCACATATGGTTACTGCATTTTGTGCACAGGCACTGAACTAGTTGTTGAGGATACAGTGATTTTTCAACCATTGTTCTGACTTTCAAGAATCTTATGATTTTGCATTGTAAAGGGAGATAATAGGAAGATAGTTATTCTAAGATGTAGCAATGATAAGAGAGGGATGCACACAGAGCAGAGGAGAGGCAGTGGGGAGTTGGTAGTGGAGTTCAAGGAAGGCTTCCCCGAAGTGAAACCTGAGTGGAAAGGATGAGTAGAAGTTATCCAGGTAAAACAGGAATGGAGATAGGCAATGAAGGTAGTAATAATATAAAGCAAGGGTGAAACCCAGAATTGGGCAAATACTGGAAGCAACCATGGGTGGTGTGTTGCTGGACCACCAGCTGGGTGAAAAGGGGGTGATGGGACCCTGAGCCAAGAACTGGACTGTCAAAGCCTTTATGGGACATTCACAGGAGCTTAGATTTTTATCCTAATGGCATTTAGAGCTTTTGAAATTTTAATGAAACTGTGAAAATAACTAGCTGTTTGTTTCATAGAGGTAATTTGAGGTCTGAATAGAGGAGGAATTGAAGAGCTTCTAAAGTAGGGAGACCCATTAGAGAAAGGAGTGTATAGTTTGGGCAATAAGTAAAGAGCATCGCCATGTGGGGTAGAGGGCTTGTTCAAGAAATATTTAGGAGAGAAAGTGGCAGCTGTTGACGAGTGAAGAGGGTAGAGTGGGAAGGGGAGGGCGTGGCTTCAGAGGTGTCTTTGGTTTCTAGTTTGGTTCTGTGTTGGTGGTGCTATACCACTTGAGAGACTCCAGGAAAGATGATGCATTTATTCTTTTTGGTTTTCCCCTAACACAAGAAACCAATTTATCAGATACTCTTATTTTGCTTTGTAGATAATTCCATGATAATTCCCTCCAGCGGCCCCCACCCCTGCACCCCCAGTGCTTCTTGGATGCTATAGCTGTTAGGTGTCTGGGTCTTTTTTGTTCCTATGAGGAGTAAATCTTTGCTTTCTAAACTTCTATATATGCCTAACCCTCTTTTCTATTTTCTTTTTCTTTTTAACTTCTAGGAAGAACCTAAGAAAGTCCGCTTTGATTATGACTTATTCCTGCATCTTGAAGGCCATCCACCAGTGAATCACCTCCGTTGTGAAAAGTTAACTTTCAACAACCCCACAGAGGAGTTTAGAAAAAAGTTGCTGAAGGCAGGAGGGGTAAGTGGCCCTGTCTTTTGAAAAGTTTTCCCATAGAATAGTAGTTGCTGCTGTGTTAAGAAGTATAATAATGTTTTGAGGGAAGTAATAGAGATGAGGTACCTTAATGGCTTGCTTTGCTGTGGACTCATGATGGGGATGAAGAGGTAATGAACAATAGTATTTTAAGGAGGTATGAGTCTGCAGTGATACTATTGGTTGGAATAGCCTTACAGTCTGTGCAGTTCAAATTTATTTCAACAAAAAGCCCAAAACAATAAACTATCCTCAGTTAAGAAAAGAACAATGTCTGAACTTTGTTCTTTGAGTTTATAGAAACTTTTGGGTAAAGTTGAAAGTCACATTGAAAATGATATAAAAAGAAGTTATTGTCCAAATGTTCTTGATCAGAGTTAATAGAAAAGGTGCGCTCATTTATATTACACGTTTGGGTCATTTAAATCTACATTTTTGTTAAAATTCTGTGTAGGTAAAAGATGGATTTTCTTTCTTAAGGTAATGATATGTTTTTGTACACACATTTGAGTGTTTCTATTTTATAATATATATATGTATATATCTTTGCACACATATTTGAGTATTTCTGTGGAAGAGATTTTTAGAAGTGGAATTATTGGGGTAGGATATCATATACATATACATCATATACACACAAAGGTGTGATAAATTTTTGCCCATGTGATTTGTCTAGGGTGGAGAAGGATTTTTAAGTAGATATTCTTGCAAACATAAACATATGGAATGTTTGCTTGCCAGCAGCAACTGACTGGCATAAATCTACTTGAAAATAGGCACCATTGGCATTATCGCTGTCATTCTACTCCAGATGAACTTCGTGTGTCATCCAGTGTGGGCAGCTCAGACCACACAAAATGTTGAAATGTGTTCTTTACTCTAGAATTGCCTTCACTTAGTTTTTCTGGAAGGTTTTTGATGGTTTGTATCCATCAGCTTGTGTAAGCATGTGTAGACCATAACTTCTCAAGAGGCCTCATTTCACTGATAAACTTTATGCAGGGTGTTTGTAGGAAAGAGTGGGTTTTATAAGCACAGAAGTGCTATAACCAAGATGAGGTTAGAGACAACCACTTTGAGAATCTCAGGAAAAGCTGTGGACTCTCTCATAAGAAAATCACTTATGTATACCATTGTATAGACATTTTGGGTTTTGTGGAACTCCTGAAATCCATTTTTCTGGAGTCCTGTTTTGCCAAGCTCCTTCCCTTTCAACTGAAATACTAATATGCACTCCAAGCATTGCAAGTACTTTCCCCATGTTTCTTTCAGCACTGTACTATGTCAATAAATTACCGGTTGAAAAGTCCAGCTTTGGGAATGAACCACCACTTACAGTATTTTAGTGGGGAAATTCATATTCATGAAGGAATGGGCTTTTGTAATGTAACTCATTTTAAAGTTAGAGATTTATTACATATTTATTAAGGAAGTAGTAGTGTTTTTTTTAAACTATTCTTTTTACAGTTACAAGAGCACAGTACGATGCGTCTATGCCCTTAGAAATGGATTGATCCACTTTAAATCCTATTTCTCATCATTTTTATTTTATGATGATGTTATTTTATAGTTCTAATTATTCCTCTTGGGTATGTAGTTAGATAGGTATTTGAAGTGTGTGAATTATGGAACTTGAGTACGTCAGGCTTCTGATAAGAGTCACAGGAAAAAGTAAATACGACACAAGAACTTTTTAGAAAACCACTTAGTCTCAGAGTTCTCAAGGGTTGCCTGCGAACTGGAGAGGAGGTTACAGGTCAGTGATAATGCAGCAGCCTGCAGCATTGCGTCTTGATAAGATCTGTAGGTTTCTGTCTTACTCTACTTGGCCTTTATCTCAGAATTATCCTCCTTAACTTCTAATTTTCCTTCTCTGTGTTTCTTTAAGTGCTGCTTGAAGCCTGCAGATTTTTTTCCTATCAGACTTAGATTGTGTCTTGATAATTCTAAAACAATAAGTTGAAATGTGAAATATTCAAGTACACCAGTTATTTGGCATAAGTTCTTTGAGGGAATAATTCCAGTGAATTTTGTGATAAAATTAAAACCTAAAAATTCATTTGAAATAATAGTAATCCCATAGATTCTATTTCATATGGTAAGTTAGTCTTTTGTGGAAATATCAGAATCTGTAGACTAATAAACACTTTTTGCCTTACCTAGATTTTTGGCTGCCTTGTATAGTTTTTACCTGATATTTAAACATTTATTATTGTCTTTGTATTAATGCACCTCTGTGGTGTTACTAACTTATAAACCATTTTGATTTTATTGGAAATCTATTTTCTTTAGCTTTGTTGAGGCATAAGCGATGTATAACATTGTGTAAGTTTAAGGTGTACAGTGTGTCGATTTGATATACTTTTATAAAATGATTATCACAACAGCATTAGCTAACATCACCACCACATCATATAATTGCCGTTTCTTTTTTGTGGTGAGAACATTTAAAATCTACTCTCTTAGCAACATTCAAGTATATGATTCAGTGGTATTAATTATTATCACCATGCTATACATTAGATCCCTAGAACTTACTCATCATATAACTGGACACTTGTGTTCTTTGGCCATTATCTCCTCTTGAACCCCACCCTCCAGCCCCTAGTAACCACCATTTTAGTCTCTGTTTCTATGAGTTCAGCTTTTTTAGATTTCACATGTAAGGGATACCATACAGTATTTGTCTTTATCTGTCTTTTGCTTAGCATAATAACCATCCAAGTCCATCCATGTTGTTGCAAATGGCAGAGTATCCTCCTTTCTCATGGCCAAATAATATTCTATCACACACAAACACACACACACAAACACAGCTCACATCTTTACTCATCTGTTGATGAACACTGAGATTCTTTCTGTATCTTGGCTGTTGTTAATAATGCTGCATTGGACATTGGAGTGCAGGTATCTCTTTGTTATCCTGTTTTCATTTCCATTGGATAAATACCCAGAAGTGGGATTGCTGAGTCATATGGTAGTTCTACTTTTAACTTTTTGAGGGATCTCCATTATATTTTCCATAGTGAATGCAGTAATGTACATTCCCACCAACATTACAGAAAGGTTCCCTTTTCTCCACATCCCCGCGAACACTTACATGTCTTATTGTTTTGGTGATACTCATTTTAACAGGTATGGGGTGATACTTCATTGTGGTTTTGATTTGTGATGATTAGTGATGTATGGTTTTTAATATATACGGCTGGCCATCTGTATGTCTTCTTTGGAAAAAAATGTCTATTTAGTTCCTCTGCCTACTTTTAATCAGATTGTTTATTTTTTGCTATTGCACTACATGATGTTTTTATGTATTTTGAATATTACCTCCTTACCAGATACATGATTTGAAATACTTTTTCCCTTCCCATAGGTTGCCTTTTACTTTGTTGTTAATTTCCTTTGCTGAGCAGAAGCTTTTTAGTTTGACATAGTACCTGTTGTTCATTTTTCTTTTTCTTTTTTTCCTTTGCTTTTGATGTCTGTTATAAATCTTATTCTTGATGTGTCTCTTCAGATAAACTTTTGTTTTTTTACTGGGTTTTGGGGTGCTTTGTTCCTTACATTTAAACATTATATGTGTGACATAGATGTGTGCTCTACCTTTCAAGGATAAAAACTCATCCCTTCTTCATATGTATATGTGAAATCCTTAAGTACAGTTTGAGGTGTGAGTGGAGTAAACTTACTGTTATGGCTATTGTTCTTTCTCTGTCACTTCTTTCTTTTAAACAAAAAGTGCATAGGACTATTAAAAGTTGAACTTGGCTTTTCAAGAGGTCAGAAAGATTGTTTTCAGACCTAGCAGCATCTTTGAAAAAGACTTTCAGCTCTTAGAAGAAAATGATTCCAAAGAACTTTTTGCCGGAAGAATCTTGTAAAAAAGTGCTGGTTTTTTTTCTACTTTATAATCTATATACTTATAGCTGCATGACAACTTTTTTTTTTTGGTCAGTAACATATTCTTATTTTCACTGGATTTCTTTTCTTTTTTAACATTGTAACTCTTCTCTATAAATAGTCTGAAAGAAATCTTGGCATACTTCCTTCCTCTCGGAAGAAATGTATTATATGCTTATCTGTTGAGCAGATCCCTAATATTAAGGATATCCTTGCTTTAAAAGAAAAGGGAAAATCTTGTGGGAAGGGTACATTTGGATTTAAGCATTATTTTCTGAGAATATTGAGGTACAGAATGATTTCATTTACAAGACCCTATAGGTAGTGTCCTCTAAATGAGAGACTGATTGGAATAGCTAGACCCATTGTAGGTTTAGTTTGTATAGGTGGTAGAGATTTGTCAAGCCTTAATTAAGAAAAAGACCTAGGGTGTAGGGGTCATGAAATAGAAAAGAACAGCCTTAGAGGTTCTGGGAGGAGAGTGCCTTTAACTTGAGATTTCATTTTATTTTTTGGTAGGAGGGGTAGAGGACAGTGACCATAAACTTGTGAGGGTAAAACTTAATATAGTCTATTTGCCCTTGAATTTTAGGCAAAAGGACCAAGTGTACCCACTGAGAAGTACCTCTCAATTCCACTGAGGTCCTTCTGTTTGTTTTTTTAAAAATGAACTGATGAATCCTCTTTTGAGCGATTTTGCAACTATGTTCTTCCAATGTGAAGATTTATTTTTAAGTGGTTTGGGATCTCAGTAGATTATTTTCTCTGTGTACTTGATTACCTTCTTAGTAGCAGGAATTCACTCATCCTGAAAAGTTCTGAAAGGGTTTGATATCCATTCTGTTTGATGGAAGAGGATGTTGGATGTTGGCAAAGTAAAGATGTAGGTAGTGTATATCGTGTCACTAAAACTTGTCATTCTACTAACTCACATCTCTAGGTTTACTGTTGGGAGGTAGTGTGATACAATTGGAAAAGCTTTGAAATCAGACAGGTTTAAGTAAAAACCTCATCTTTATCATTTTCTAGGTGAAGAAACTTTTTGAGTATCAGTTTATCATCTGTGAAATGGATGAGCCAGTGTT